GCCAAGTGGTGGTGAGGGATTCCTCTCATTTAGAGGAAGCAAACAAACTGGCACAGAAATGCCTTCTCCTTGCCTGGCCCACTGCCAGGTTGCCCCTCTGGTGTAACTTGGGGCATTCTAGGTGCTGGTCTGAATTATACTGCCTGTCAGTGTCTTTAAAATGCTATTATGGCTGCTGGGGATCTCTGCAATGGAGAAGGATTTGAGCATGTTCTTCCCTGCCAACACACTGAGTGCCAGGCAACAGCAGGAGGGTGTTTCTAGCATGACTTCATGCCAGAGGTGATCTGTGTGCTAAGCAGCCTGGCAGAGCAGCAGAAACAGATGGATCCAGATTGACATGATCAAATAGATCTCACAGCGTATTTAGTATGTTTGTCATGCAAGTATTTGCCTGTCAGCTGTTTCATGTAATGCACTGTTTTTCCATGTGAGGAATGGTGCCAAAATCACCCAAGTATAAGCTAAATTACAAGGTTTTCAGTCCCACAAAATTTAGTGAGCTTACTGAGATACTGCTTTGTGAGAGATTGAAGTCAAGGCTGAGGCCTAACTCCCCTCCACAATTCCTGTGCGTGTCCTTGGGAACTTGATATGCCCTATGGGAGCATCTAGAACTCAGTCAGAAGTAAAGGTGCTTCTGTGGAAGTTCAGGTGTATTTTATAGTAGGCTACACGCCATGAATATTAACTGCATGATGGTGAGGTGTATGGGAACTGTTGATCATGGCCAGAACCTCTGATTGACCACCTGAGCCAAGCAATGAGTCAGCTGCAGGAGCACAGGTGAAGGCAATTCAGCTGTGCTACCGGAAGGGGTGGAGCGTGGCTGCACCTCTCCTAGATCCCATTTAAGTGCTGATTGCCACTGAGGGAGGATCTCTTTCTAGAGATGGCTCTTCATGGAGTTTACTGCAAGCCTATAACACCAGTGAGCATTTCCATTTATTTTGATTATCTTTCCACTGTGGTAATCTTACTAAGCCTAATCTTTGTACACCTATTGATTGTACTGTGAGAGTATTCCTTATTTTGATTGCCAGGTAGGTACTGACTTTGATCTAATAGATGTGTAAACAGTGTAAAGCATGAATTTTAGGAATATACTTCCATAAAAATGCAGTGGTTAGAGTATTAACACAACCGCTTTACACTTGTGGAAGATACTGCTTACTTAACTGACAAATCAACTAATGCTGATCTATTTCCAGTAACCCACATAGCGTAAAAAGGGTTTTTGTAGTGTTTTAAGAGGTACAAGAATAGCATTTCTGAAAGCAAAGAGTGGATCTTAAACTTAGTATAAAAGCAATTTGATAAATCATTTTCTTCTTGCTTTCTCACCTCCTTTCTTCTCTTCTTTTATAGAGCATGATCTGATTTTTTTTTAAGAGGTACCAAGTCTCTTTTAGAACATCTGTCATCCTCACAGCTGCCCTGAGCAAGCATCAAAGCTACTGTGCGGAGATCCTCACTTCACTTTTTACTCACTGGGGGCATCATCAGTCTTTCATTGCTGTCTTTCATGGCAACTGCTGAGGAGACTTTCCCCGTGCTCTGAAACATCCAGATCTCCACTGGACTTCCTTCATTCTCCCTGCACATGCTCTCACATGGCCACAAATGCTTTCCTCCATCTTCCCTGCTGTGCTGACTGTCCAACCTGTAGTAACAGACTGATTCTGTACTTGTCCATCTCTTCTGAATTTCTAATCAATGAGACAAATATTAATTCATTTATTTCTTTGTTTATTATTTTGTTTAACTTGAAGCATGGCTCACAGTTGAATTGCCTAAATTGCAGGAATGTCAAAGCAGCAGTTATGGCCCCAACTGGCAGTAGCAATTGCTCTAAATGTTCATCCTGATGTTTGTGTAGCTCACACAGCTGCTAAATCCTGAATCATCCTGCTAATGAAAGTCAGAATAATTGCTCACAGTTTGACTGCAGGCACAGGTTAGGCAAGTCTTCTCAAACTCTTGAGATGGTATCTGTAAAATTAAGGAGCTGCAGCTGAGCTCAGTTTCTGGACAAGTGTGGTAAATACTGAGGGGGTTTATTAATTCATCAAAGCTCCTTGTAAGATGGTCTGAATCCTTCTCTGGAGGCCAGCATAGAGAGAATTAACTTTCTTCTTCCTGTGGAAATGATCACAACTGCTTACACTGTATAGAGGGAAGAGGCAGCTGTAATGAATTATTTATCCATAACGCACTATAAGGGATGTGCTGTGATTAATTGTAGAGCTGGGCAGGAAATGGTTTCCTCATCCCAAAAGATTTTTTAGATTAAAAATGTGCTGCTATTCCACAATGGGATAAAACCCAAACCCCTATAACAGTTTTAGAATTAGAAGACCAAAGCAACACACAAAAATCTAATATGTACAACTCTAGCAAAACAAGAGCCCAACAGAAATTTTTCACAGCTGAGAAGAAAGCTTGCTATGGAGTTCCTGGGGATTGACCCACAGCATAGCCCCAAGCTTTGAGCAGGTGAGGAGCTTTCCTGGCTGAGAGCTTGGCACCAACCAACACACTGGTGTGGGGACACAAATGTCACCAATCCCACGAGTGTGCCCCAGCTGCTGAGCCAGGGTAGGGTTCATGGCTGCTCTTTGGAGGCACTGTGAATTGCACTGCAGTGGAAGAGCTGTGACTGGCTCTGCCCAAATGCTCAGTCCTTAGTGCAGCATCTGTTGTTTGTATTGGGCCCTTCTGTTTTTACAGAGAAAAGGTATGGAGCTGAGTCATCTTCTATAAACCTGTTTGCTTCCAGATGTGAAATCTCCTTTTCTAAAAAAGCTTACAGGGAAGTGAGGTTTTTATTCTTGTGATTCATTCCCTCATGTGCTTCATAAATAAGAGGCTTTTTTCATGATTGTTTCCAATGTTTCCAGTTTCAACATGTAGCCTGACTGTACAGCAGTGCCCTGGTGTATTTCTGAGGAAGGCTGAAAATTGATTCAGTAAATGTGATGTAGCAGAAACTTCAGAAGTAGAATCTATGCCATTTAAAATCACTGTCTTGATCCATAAAAGGAACGGGGAAAGCTCTTCTGTATCTTCATTGCAGCTGTGGAAGCTCATACTTGACACAGTTTTTCCCCAGGGTGTAACTGGTGAAGGAAAAAAATGACAGTGACTGACATGACTTGAATGCATCTACATTAAAAACATATGGTCTTGTTAGCAATAGGTATGAGCTGGTGAGGCTGGCTACCTCCAGAGATTTGTAAGGGCATGCGGCAGAGCAGATTGATCCCTTCCCTGGTAGTCATAGAAGGATGTGAGAAAGGCACCAGGTGTCTCCTTTGATCTTTCTTAAGGCCAAGCAGCCAGAAATAAGAAGTTCATGCTGTGTGAAGAAATAGTGCTCAGTTAGTAGTGTGGTGATGATTTCAGAATACTTTATGAAGGATATGTACTTTGAAGGTTTTTGAACACTGATGCAGAAGAGTTTTGAGCCACATGAATCAGATTTGGTTTTCATGAACATGCAAAGAGCGGAGGCAAACTGAACTCCAGTCCGATCCAGCTAACAGCCATGTGTAGCATTCCCCATTTCCTCAATTCCCCAAAGGCTAGTAAATGTACAAGGCTAATATTGTTACAATCTCAAGTTGTACTAGTCGGTTGTTTAGCATTCTATTTATTTAGTAAAATGAATATTTGCAAACCCAGCTATTAGCTCTGGTGAAGCTTTATGCTTCTGGGTCATACGGTCAGTCAGACTGCACTTTCAGCATATCTGCATGTAGTCTGGAAACAGCGTGAGAATTCCTGAGTGGTGAGCTCTGTGCAGCATGGGATGTGGGTTACAGTGCTGACTATGCACTCTTCTCATAGGAGGCTTGTCTGCAAGGTTTGCATCACTGTGGTGTCATGCAGAAAGGAATAGAATGACTCTTCAGTAAATTTCTTCCTTTGGCAGGGTGAACAAGATGGACAGAGTTGGCTGTCACTGTCTCAGCCCTGAGCTTCTACTGCTGTCTCAGACTCCTCAAATGCAGCTCCAAGTGGAGCCTCTTGAGAGCAATGCATAGTGGAAAATCAGGACACCTTAATGATTTCTCTTATAAGGAGATGGTTACTGTCATTAGGGTGGCAATATTCAGTTTGGTCTCACTTAGGCTGCAGAACAAAAGTGATTTCACTGTGGGAAAGACAGTGCTATCTTACGAAATAACAAATAGGTCTTCAGAACTGGATAATTTTGTGAGTTTTTTAATAACCATAATGTTTGGCTGGTTCAGCTCTAGATCCCCATAATCATTCTGAAGCAAAAATGTCTTCAGAAGCAATGAAGCCCAAGTCTTCCAGGAGAGAAATCACTGGCTCTGCTGTAGTGCCTCCTCCCTGAAAGATTATACAGGCTATATGAAGGGGAACATCCTCTTTTCAGTGTCTTAAAAGCAGAGCACACTTTGGTGGCACTCTGAGTTTATGGACTTCAACTGTCACAGATATTGACCTAGGCAGTGTCAGCACTGGGTTCATTTATGCTTCTCTTATTCACTGACCGTACAACAGGTTTTAGGAAATGAATCGAAGACTGGTGGTGACTGCAGATCCAGGTGTCCCAGTCCAGATGTGACTGCTGCTGACAACATCCAGGTATGCCATCATTAACTTATAAAATTCAATGGGCTTCAAATTTAGGAACAAGTTGTCAGAGGAAAAGGGCAGAGCCGTGCCTTTGAAAGCATGACTTTCTGCCTCTGAGGTGGATGAGGTCGCGGATGACGCAGCAGCAAAGTAGATAGCATTGACAATGTGCAGAGAGGATGCAATGCATTTATTTTTATCACAATTATGATCATCCCCAGAGTTGTGATGGTTCTTCTCTCATGTGGCTCTTGTTATAACAATTCACACTTGAGTTATCAAATCACATTAGCCAATCTACTTAGTACTACTTTTGAAAAGCAACCAGAAGCACCAGGTGGTCCATTTCTTGAGTGAGACGTGACTTTGAGGGTGTTCAACAGTCCTGTACTGTTCTCTTTTTAAGAGGCTGACTGCTAATATTAAAGTGAAAGTCTCAACACTAGTTACAATTACAGTGCTTTATGAAATCTTGTTTTTAGTATAGGACATAACTATAGTGTGTGCGTGGAGTTTTGGGGTCTAGTTTCTCCAATGTAAGAAAATAGGTGTGATAGCCCACTGTCATCATGTATTGACATGCATTCAGTCAGATTAATTATTAAAGAGGTATATAGGGCTTAATGACAGGCTATTAACACTGCTGGGTAATTGTCTTTGGATTTGATACACTGGGATGTTGGAGGACATGCCTCTATGTAAATGGTGTAACTTATAAATCCATAAATGTGTGGGTTTTTTAGAATCATTTGCGTATCTGTCCTTAACACATGGATCTGATACTAGCAAGTGCCAGGAGTGAAGGCAGTGTCCACTATCTGAGCAGTAACTGGGTGAAATCTGATCTTGAGTAGCCATTAAAAAATTTAGTGAGATTTTTATCTGTTCTCAAGTACCACTCTAAACTTTATTGTATTTAATCTAGTTTACTTGTTAAAGGAACATAAAAAGAGACATTAGGAATGCAGATTTAGTGTCGTACAATAGTCAAGATGAAGAGTAATGGCTGGAAAGCCTTAACTCTCAGGCTCTGCTCCTATACTAATGTCACAGAAATCATATTACTGAGATGCAGCTATCTTTCATAGGCAGCAGGGGCAGAATGGATGGCTCCTTTCCCTCAGCAGAAGCAGCTATCCTGATCTGGTGTGCAGAGCCAGAGTGGGGTCAATTGAGGCATCGCGAGGGGCTTTGCTCTCAGCAGAGCTGTAGGGATATGAGCACTCTGACAGGTATATCCTCATTTGCTGGGGGTATCCTTGTGAGGCCAGGGGCCAGATAGCTTGAGTGTGGTCTGCTTCGTGTTTTCATAAGGCCTGATACATCACTCCAGCTAAAAGTGCCCTGATCTCCAGGATGAAGTGAAATTTCTTTTGTTTTACTATTTGTAATGTTACGGAAGGATAATTATTTTTCCTCAGTGGTGTGAAGACTGATAGACAAACATAAATTCTATTTGTTCATGAGTTTGCTTAAAATTTTTCGATCTGTTAATCACCAGGGAAACAAAAGCACAAGGGGAAAAAAAATGTTTATGGAAAGCTCTTTTGTGAGCCTATGGCCTGATTCTTTCGGCACAGAGGAACAAGCTGTTCTCAGGGCTGTACCTGAGTTCTCATCACTCTATACAGGTGTCAGTGTAAGCCAAGAAAGATTCAAATGTTGCCCAGCTGAGGGTTATTTTGTTCATTTGGCTGGTGCTCAAGAACAAAAAATAACTCTTGGAAAAAAATAAAATACAGTAAAGCATGTGTGGTAAGTGTATTTTCTTGTATATTGCCCAGAATTATTCCAGGTACACTTCATAGGGAGCAGTGTTGACCAGCAGGCACCATTATGATAGGGAACAAAATGATTACTGACTTGATTCACTTCTTTCTTTCGTTGTGTTTCCTTCTCGTGGCTGAAGGCTCCTTTAGCTCAGTGACATAAGGAAAAGCAATAAGAAATAATGCTTGAGCTACTCTCACACACACGTGGGGATGTATATTGCCAATAGAATGAGTTTCCCATAAACTTCAGTCATCTATTAGTGCTAACCTGGTACCAATCATGACTTACTCAGAGTTTCTCTCCACACCTCTGTCTTCCTGGCCATCAGGGATTTGCAACTGTTCTTAGGACTCACTGAAATCTAGGCTAACAGAGCAGTCCAGGACAAATCACAAGCGTGATTTATTAGCTGCTAGAGACAAATGGTTGGACCTACAAGGAAGCCTTTCCATTTTGTAATTTTGCCTGCAAATATTTTTCTTAAAAGTAATAGCCTGGTTTATTCTGCTAATAATCTGTACTGTTTTATGTGTAAGCCATTGTTCCAGGTTTTACCAATACACGGAGGAAATGGCACACTTTTAAAAGGAGATTGAATTGTGGCGAGTGGGCTGCGTGTTTGTATTTTCTGGCTTACTGTTGTGTCTTTGATGCTCAAAATAAACTTGTATGTGCAGCTGATGCCATAAACCAGAGCAGTGGGTTTGACCCTCAACAAAGCATTCCCCATTGTGTGTTTGCACATGATGGCTTGTTCACTCAGTTCTGCATTGACTGTTGGATACCAAAGCAAGCCTGGCTCCTGGCCTGAGTTCAGCTTTCAAAGAGGTGTGATCGTCTGTTATCACTTACCTAGCCAAAGGATATCCACTCTACAGGTTTGTATATAAGAATGGTAATTTAACAGTTTTTTCTCTCTTTGGAAGCTTTCCAGATCAATTGTTTTGTTCTGTTTCAAGCAAAATGGGAACATGTTTAAAAATATATATATATTGTTCATATCCCCTTGGTAGCCTGTGGCTCTGAGCAATAGTCAGTAGGCAAAAGTTAATATTAGGTTGAAACAGAATGGTCTTTGTTTCTAATGTTGTTGGAGGGAAAATAAGGCTAGGAAATAATATTTTCATGAGTTTTGGTATATTATATGGTGGGAGGTGTTTACTGAGAGAAGTCAGAAATATTGTGTTCTGCCTTTGGTGATAATTACAGCCGTGCTCTTACTTCTATCTGCAGAACCTAAATCCCACTTCCAACTGTTAGGCATCAAATGGAATGTGTGAGATGCAACTCTTGGAACATTAAGTGAGTGAATCTTAGACCTTTTCTATTTATTTGTCTCCTGTGTGCACCCATGTATACCACAGGCATTTTTAATTATTCTGGAGCTGGCACATGACTCGCATTACCTCCTTCCTCTGGGTATCTTGCTGACATAACAGTGTGAAGGAGTAATAGCTTATACAGTAAAAACTGGTTGTTAGGAAGAGGGATGCCATTAAACTGTCCCTGTTTAGTGAGCAGAAATTACACTTAATACTAAGTACCAGTTTTTAAAACAGAATATGGTTGTGTTCAGACCAGCAAATTCATTCAGACAGCCATAAAAGGCTTGTAAGGTCTCATCTTAATTTGCAAGTAAATCTCCATATATTCAGGCTGTGCCACTTTGATACAGAACTGTGCAGTACTACAAGGCTGGCACGTGTATTTACTTAGTGGAGAAAATATATGGCATGGAAACTCTCGTCATAAAAGACTTTGTGTGGTCTAACAGCCTGATTCAGCACGCTGAAACCAATGTGAACCTTTCTGCCTGTTTTGGGAGTGCAGGAACGTGCCACCAATGTGGAAAACATTCCTCAGGCTGGAAGTGACCAGCACAAATGTTGACATCATTAAGAAAATAACAGGCTGACAAACAAGCAGCCCCATAGACATGTGACACATTTGGAAGCAACTGAAAACACAGCTGTTGTCTGAAGTTTGTGTGTGAACCAGATGCTCTTGGAAAGCTAGAGGCTATCCTGCTGCATGTATATGTAGATTTGTGTTGTGTTTCTTCAAATCTACAAACGGGGGTTTGGTGTAAAATGTACCTTAAAAAAAAAGAACTGAAAAGAGCTGATTTGTAATTGATTTTAATAATTATATGCAATATCCATGAATCTTATCACATCTTGCTTTATTCTAAATAGCTTCTTTTCAAAAACAGCTAGCAGGAATAATATTTCCTGTTCTTTAATAAATGATGAACAGAATAAAAGTTTGGGGTCAGTGCTTTAACAAGGAACTGCCCATCCTTTACTTTAGAGGTTTGTATCTTGGTACAAATTTCATACAAGTAGCTCCACCCTGGAGCTTTTTTTTTTTTAAATGTGTGAAGTGCATTAGCTCTTTGGAAGTGAGCTGTAACACTGTGCACGAAACCTAAAAGTCTCTCTGTGAAAGCATGGCCATGAGCCTCTGCCTGGGGCATGGTGTGTAACTAGAACAGAAATCCCAGCTACTTTTCAGGTGCAGATCCACATTTCCAGGTCCTGCAGATCCCTTTCCCAGTGCTATATTTTTCTTTCATCTGAGTGAAATCCAAAGCAAACTCCCAGCCTTCTTTGTCCCTTGAATCCAGGTGACATCCTTATCTCTGCTGCCATTATACATTCCAGTCATCAGCCAGGTGCTGGAAAAAACCCTGAATCCAGCTTCTCTGTCCACTTCAATACCATTGTTTCACCACGGGGAAAGATGAAATCCAGAAAAGTGAGGATTGCTGGTGAATGTTGCACTTCAGTGGAGTAGCTGGGGTTGTCACCACTCTGGAACTGGTTCCCTGGGAGAGACCCAGGAGTTCCCATGGTCTCACAAAGGACTGCAGTCAAACCCAAACATCTTTATGTGCTTTAACGGCTCTTAGCATTTGTGAACTGTCTTAATATGGTACTTTTCTTTAGATGCTAGATACAGTAAGGCCTGGGAGAGCCTCAGTGTCCTGAGAGGCTCTATGCTGTCCTTGTTCTCATACTGGGAGGCAGCAGAGTGGGTGCTGGCCATGCAGGGTTGCTTTTCTCCTAGTGAACCATTTATTCAAGCTTTCTTTCACAGATTTTGAACTAAATCAGCCACATAACAAAAGGGGATGGAAACTAGTGAGGGATGAGTACAAGTAAGCTCTTTTCATAGCAATTTTGTACAGGGAGGGAGGAAGAGGGTACTTTTCTAAAAAGGGGATTTCTGCTACACTTGCTAATGATATACACCCCCCTTTTCTTGCGAGGGGAGCATTGCCCTGTTCTGCTTTGCCCCGCTGGGATTTCTGCCCATCCCCCGCACGACTTCTGCCCGACACCCCCACCCCGACGGCTACGAGCAGGCCCGGCCCCCGCTGCCTCCCGGCCCGGCCGAGGCACCGGACACGGCTCGGGGAGGCGGCGGGGCAGGGCTACCGGGGAGCCCGGGCCAGGGGCTGCGGTCCTGCCCGCCCCCAGCTCCGGATCGGCCCCGCGGTGCGGCTCTTCGAGGCTCTCTTCTGGCTCTTTCATCCCCCCGCAAAACGACGAAGTTGAGCGGCGGCGCTTCGGAGCGACCGCTCGCCCCGATTATCCTCATCAGCACAACCGGAGCAAAGCAGCGGCGGTACGAAGAGGAGCGCGGAGCCTCCCGCAGCATCCCCGCGGCGCGCCGTGGCGGCGGGCTCAGGCGGTGCCGCCCGGGGCTGCCCGGGGCGCTGCGGTGGGGCCGTGCAGCGCCTCTCGCTCGCGCTTCTTCTGCTTCATGCGGCGGTTCTGGAACCACACCTTCACCTGGGCGTCGCGGAGGCGCAGCGAGCGGGCTACCTCGAGGCGGCGGGCCCGCGACAGGTAGCGGCTGAAATGAAACTCCTTCTCCAGCTCCGTGAGCTGCCGGGTGCTGAAGCTGGTGCGCAGGGAGTAGGCGGGGGGCGCCGCGCCGCCTGCAACGCCGAAAAATACCGAGAAACAGCGCGCTTCGGCGGGGGCACGGAGGGTCGGGGCGGGGGTCCGGGCAGGGGAAGCAGGGATGAGAGTGACCCCCGCCCGCGCCCCGCCGCCCCACTCACTTCTGCCGGGCGCGCTCCGCTTCATCCGCATCCATTCGAAGGCGCGGGGCTCCGGCGGGGCCGCCCCCGGGGTCGGACAGCAGGAGCATGGCCTTTCGGGCTCCGATGACGTCGGGCGGCCGCTCCCGGGGCAGAAGGACGCGTCGGGATGCGGCGGAGCCTCACCCGGCCACGCGGCCCCGCGGGGCTGCTGGCAGCCGGGGGCCGGGCCGGCCGCGTACCCCGCCGCCCCGACGCAAACAGCCGACGGAGGATGCGCGGAGCTGGCCGCGGTGCTCAGCGCTGGGAAGGCGTCGAGTCCCCGCCGAGGGTAGGGGGACGGTGGGGTCCCGTGGCACAGCCCGGGCGGGAGGACGATGGGGAAAAAGCCCAGGTCCATGCCTACGGAGACAGCACCACGCCGACCCCCACCCCCCGACGGGGCAATATTGCCCTGATATAGGGCCGGAGCGGAGGCACGTCCCGCCCCGCGGCCAATGGGAGCCCGGCGGGTGCAGCCCGCACCGGGTATCCCGGGCGCCGCCGGTGCCCTGCCCGCTCCCTGCTGCCCGCGGTCGATGCGGGGGCAGCGCACCTCGAGCGCCCAGGCGTGACCCTACGACGGTCTGGCCTTGGCACGGAGGGGACGGCGCCGGGAGTCGGGTGCCGTTCTCTTCTCAGCCCTCCCGGGACCGCTCGGGATCCCCCACTCGCCGGAGCCGCCGCTGCCTTCGGAGCCGCTCGCCGGGAGTTCGGAGGGGAAACCGCGCCTCCACGCCGCCCGGATTCGTGTCCCTGTGCCCGGCACGTCTGTCCCCTCCCGGCCTGGGGGAGCACACGCGTCTGTCCGCACCCGGGGGAGGGAATGCTGCACCTCCCGACGCTTATGGCCTCTCTCCATCAGATAAGTGCTCTGAGGGCTCTCCAAAGTGAATCCCCGGTCTCTCCGTGCTAATGGGCTTTCACTCTTCCCTTGGCAATTCGGCGTTGCTTACTGAGTGTTCACAGCTGGCACGGGAAGCTCACGGAGCAGCAGCGCGGGAGTGTGGCCAGTTGCGCTGCCCAGCGAAACCTCCGGCTCATCCTTTTCTCCCTGAATGGCAAAGAAGCGGGGCTGTGAGCCCCGGGCTCCGGCAGTGATCACTTTTCCCCTGACTGGTTAACTGGGAGGTTGAACTACAGGTCTGAGCTACCTAAGCCTCTGCTTGGATGCTGTTGGGTTTCGTCCATCTCCTAAAACTGAGAGTCGTGTCAATGCTGTTCAGAAAAGCAGAAGACAGAGCTCACATGAGCTTGGCTGACCTGGGACTGGACAGACGAGGGACACAAGGACGGGCTGCATTATGCAGTTTTGACTTAAGCTTTGACTTAGTTTAGCTTTCTCAGTTTTAGGAGGTGACTATGGACAACTGGGAAATGTAGAAGTTGCAACTTGCCACAGAAGTATTTTGGTCCTTAACAAAGGCATTAAATTAAAACCCCTTCACCCGTCATCCAGTGCCTTCTACTCAGCAGCCCAACAGCTGGCTGGTGGCAGCAAAGGAACAGCACGGGGAGACATGATCACAGCATTTCACAGGCAGCCTCAGCTCCTGCCCATGGGGGTTTGACTCTGCTCAGCCCCGGCTGCCCCACCATCGTGCCCCACTGGTGGCACTGCTTCGGAGCCGGCACGCTTTGCTTCCCTCCAGGGGGAGGGGCACATCCCTGGGGCTGGTGGACACAAGATGGTGAGGGCACAGGGACACTTCCCTGCACATGGGCTCTGAACGTCAGTGAGGCTTTCTAACAGCCCCGCTTTCTCCCCAGTGCATCCAGCCCATCTGGTGTGAGAGCAAAGGCTGGCACATTACTGCTTCATTACTCGGGATTGAGCATCTTCAAACAGAACCCTCACTGTAAGCCTGGAGCCTCGTAGCTACAGGCACAGCTATGGGCTGTGCTGCCCCGGTGCACTAACAACATGCTATCACTTACACTGCCATGCTCGAAGGACAGAGGTGTCAGTTAAAAGTGTTTAAATCAAATATACCTGTTTAGGAAACCCTAAATGTTGAGGGAGGGGTTAAATTCTGGGTGAAGCTTGCTCAGCACATGCAAGGCAAGCAAATAGGTTTAGAAAATGTCATTTTTGGACTAAGCAGAGGTCTGGAAATACCACGCTTCCTTTTTAGCAAAGAAAGCTGTCCAGTAGGAAAGCATCTGCTCCCTCAGGGTCCCCTGCTGCAGAAACTCCCACTGCAGCGAAGCAGGCAGCGCTGGCTCCAGGGGAGGGCTTCTGTTTGTAGAACACAAATGCTCTGATTACACCTAAAGCTGCGTTCTAAATGATAAAGCAGGGGCAGACCATGTTAATGCTAACATATGATCTTCCCATTCACCCATCTGGATCCTCTTACCGAGTTTCTCATTCGTTACCCGTTTGTTTTTGCACAGCTGCTCAGGGATGAGGAAAGCAGAAGCCACTGCTGAACACTGGCACAGTGTCTCCTGTTGCCATTGACTTTTGAGGAGTGAATTGCAATTCTCTAAGGTCCCAGATTTCACAGTACTCTGAGCAAAAATCCTGGTGATGGGATGCTGAGCGACTGCAGATGTTTTCTTGCAAGAGGTCTGTTGGATAAGAGCCTCTGCAATTTTGAGGAATAGAAAGAAAAATAGTTAGAAAGAAGCATGGGAAGAATATGAGGGCTGCCATGGCTGTCCAGGAGCTCAGCAGAGCAGTGACAGTGCAAGCCAGGGGCACAAACCTCTGGGGGAGTGATGGGACCAGCCAGCCCTGTGCCAGTACATGTGCTGGAGGCAGTGGCAGCCCCATGCCCGAGGCACTCCTCCAAGGCTGGGTCCTGGAGCTGCTCGGAGCAAGCACCCATACAGAAAAACATGCAGATCCCTGAGAAGAACTTGGCTACGTGGGGATGCGTATCCATCCCTGAACCTGGAATACACACAGTGGTCAGCCATCAAAGGGCCTGCAGAGGAAGGCTGCTACAGAAGTAGAATCACTGGGAAGTTTATTTTATAGAGTATGGCTAAAAACAGGAATGTACAGAGGCCCCAGGGCAAAGAGGGGAAACAGTGCTGCTGCAGTGGGCAAGCAGGCTCAGTTCCATCATACACTCAGGCAGGCAGAGCATCACTTCCTGAGGAAGGTGTGCCTTCCTCTTCCATCAACACCTGCGTGCCATGGGCCCCCCATTCCAAGCTGACCCCAGTTTGTGCAGTGAGGCTGGAGCAGGGAGCTGTGCTCTCCCAGTGCATGTCATTCACTTCCAGGATCCTTTGCATGAGCACCAAGAGGAAATGCTCTCCTCCTGCCAAGGCTCCCCTGGCAGAGGGATGTCCCGATGGGCCCTGTGCCACGTCATTCCCCATTTGCTATCCTATAGCCATGAATTTGGTAGGAAGAAGTTACAAGTATGGATCATACAGAGACGCTGCCCATCAGCAAATAAAGGAAGAGTGAACACGGGCCGCAGGGGCTCAGTCACATCCTGTCGACTGGGAGCTGTTACTGGAGGCACTCCAGCCCCAGCCCAGGCACTGCCAAATGGGTTTTACTCGAGTTCCAGTGAGCTGATGGAAGAAGAAGGGCTGTGGTGTAGAGCTGCGCGGGCTGTGATTGATGAACGCTCAGAACCAGCCCCCTCCTCCCCGCCAGCCCCACTCCCCGAGAGGACCGCAGCGCACCCAATGCCCGGCCCCACCGGGCGATCAGTCCGCAGAAATGCTGCTTGAACTCCGTTCTGGAAACAGAAGAGGTAGCCCTTCGTAATCCGCAGCCTCACACTGTGCCCCACCAGCCACGTGGCCGCCGGCTGCCCTGGCAGCGCTGGCCCTTTGTGCTGCCCGACTGCTCGCCGCCTTTGTTCTTTCGGGGCTGTGGCAGCCCAAGCGGGTGTGCGGGCAGCCGTCCCATTGGGCACACCACGTGGCACGTGGCAGGACAGAATGGCAGCCTGGGCTCCTTCCAGCTGCCACCAGTCACCCCTCAGCAGCAGCCCAGCAGCTTCCATCCCCTTTCCCTTTGCTCTTTTTCCTGAGCAAATTCCCTTCTGTGCCCAGATCTCCCTGCAGGCAGCTCTGCAGGGCTAAGCACGATGCTGGTGTTGTGCAGAGACCCCAGAACTGAGTCCTGCCTGGGGCAGTGGAGCTCCAGTTGCCCTGCTGGTGCTCAGCAAGCCAGAGTCCTCTAGTCAGTGCTGATAGGGTCCCCAGTTCAGGCACGGTCCCATGCTGCAGCCATTTGGGGGGGACTGGGTCTGATGGTTTGCAGTGCTCTTGCCAGTGGTGCAGAGTGCATCTGGCTTTGTTAGCCCAGCCCCACAGAAGTGGCATTTTCCCATTCAGGAGTGGACTGCTGTTAGGATGAGACCAACAAGCAGAGATGCAAAGCCCATGAATGCAATCAGGAGCAGTCTCACTGAAGCCTGGAACACCTGGTGTCCCCCAGTTGGAGCTGTCAGAGCTCCCAGCTTCAGCTCAGTGCCGTGGGTTCTGCAGCAGGGTCCAAGGCTCTGCCTGCAGAGAAAGGCAAGGCTGTGTGAGCCCCAGGGCTGGCCTTGGTCACTGAGTTGTGAGTTAGCGGGTAACCAGAGCTCAGTGCATCAGATGCTGCTGCAAAGGAGCTGAGTTTCCTCCTGAGCATGAAAGGAGCTCCTTTGTAATTTATGAGTTCTAAACGATGGGCCAAGAATAAGTGTGGCCTGTGCCAAAGTGTCTTTCTCCTCTAGATTGCTGATGCTTGTACAAACATTGTAAAAGTGCCAGCAGTCTCACTAAAGTAGCATTACTTCTAATAATTAGGTTATCATCGTGGGCTTCTGCTGTGTTACAAACGAGATGCCTCTGCCAGAGCCACGGAGAAGAAAGCGAATTTATTCACAGCAAGCCCCCTCACACACGCTCCTCCTCCTCCCCGCTGGAGACCCAGTGTACAAATCCTGGCTCAATGTGAGCAGGGACAGGGCCAGCGGGGTGACACTGTGCGAGTCAGCCCTTCCTCCCCCGGGCAGGGAACAGCTTTGTGAATAAACCGATGGTGTAAAGCAGAGCAGCCGCTGCTCAGCAAACAGCCCTGAGCAGGAAGGTGGGAAGCACCTGGGAGTGGTGTGCTGGGCTGCACCAGGGTGATCCCCAGGAAGGGAGCTGCCCAGGCCTTGTGCAGTGTGTGAGACACATTGTGGGTGGAGAGCACACAAGAGGATCTGCATGGACTTTTCCAGTCGTGCTGCATCGATTACAGAGGGGTTTGGAGATACAGACACATCTACATATACAGAACATTACAGAAGTGTATCTCATGAGTAGTGTCCAGCCTTACTTTCCACATTGTTGTACATTTCAGTCACTCCAGGATGGATCTTCTAAGAGAGTTTGTATGAGGTCTTCAATAGAAAACAATGTTAGGGCTCAGAATGGTTAAAATATGTCTCCAATCAAAGTAGTTTATTCTGTTCGGGTTTGTTTACAGATCTACAACACATATATCCAAATCCGCTCGGGTCAAAGTGAAATTTAACAAAAGATACACTTCTCAACGCAGCACAACATTGCTCAAATCGCACAGAGGGCAAAATAAAACCCCAAGTAACATTTTGTACCGTTGCTGTCCAGCCAAACACCAACACCAGAAGGTGGGGAGGAGAGTACGGAGGGGAAAGAAGGAAGGGAAAGAAGAAAGAAAGGAAAACGTGGCTGCGTTGGCCAGAACTGGAGGAGTTAACGCATTTCTCACAATGGGAATTCCAGGTTCTGTCTTAGAGGATGCAGAAGGAGCTGCAGTGTTTGCAATCTGCAAAGTGAGCATCAGAGAGCTTTGTGAGGAATGCAAAGATTTGGTTAATCCTTAACTCAACGCTTCTAGCGACAGATATGGCAGTCTTCTCGGGGCGATGTGTGCCGTCAGGAGGAGACCTCAGTGCCTTAAACAGGAGTATCTCTGTGAGCTCAATGAGGGGTTCAACACGACTGCGTAACTAAAGAGGAGGAAACTCGAGGTTTCAGAACATCTTTCCCTTTTCTCCTTTCTTTTATTTTCCCTCCTTTCTTATATTTTTCCCATTCTCCCATGCATTCGCTGTCCCACTCGTGGCAGAGGCGGCTGGGACCATCCTGGCCAGGAGCCCCAGACCCGGCTGCACGTTTCTGATTGTCAATTTTCTTTCAAAGTTTATTTTTATTTTTTTAATGATAAAAAACAAGAGGAAAAGCTCGGGCTTCCAAAGATGTCTACAAAATTGATTTATGGTTAGTATAAAGACAACAGTATAAATAACAAAGGAGGCGGCAGCTGCTGCACGGATTGCTATGGAGACCCTAATGAAATTAGCGCTATCAGAGGGTGTGGGGTTTTTTTTCCTTTTTTTTTTTTTTTTTTTTTTTTTCCGCTAAGCTTCTAATTTCTTTCCTATTTCAGATAGCCAGAATGCAATTAAAAAAAAAAAAAAATAGAAAAAGTAAATAGCCCACCGAAAGAAGGTGTGCTCTTGTACCCGGTCAATAAATATGCGCGAGGCTCCGCGGGCAGGGCCGGCTCTGCACCCACCGCGGGGCCGGCCCGGCGAAATAAATACCCGAGAAATAATTCCCTTTTCTTCTTTCTTCGTGAAGTGTAACGGCTCCTTGCGTGACGCCGCGGTTTGTTTCACCCTATTAATGACTTACGACTCGCTGTCTTAATTAATCCTTACACAAACTACGAACACCAGCCACGGTTACGACTGCTCACCACTACGCTCCCAACGGCTCGGGCCGGGCGTGCTGACGGGCGGGGCAGCCCTGCGTCGGGCTCCCGAGTGTCGGCGAAGAAACTCTACCAATAGCCACATAAATACATTAAGACGAGGATAAATAATCAGTGATACAAAAATGTCTCGCTTTCAAATAATAAATAGGTATCGTTCAGTCCGATGCGATCCTTACGTTACGGAGGAATTCATAAATTAACTTGTCGGAAATAAGCTGGGCGCTCACAGCTGCTCTAACACACCTCAGCGCGACGCGCTGCTACCTCTACGTGATCCCTACGACTTACCTCGGGCACACCGCTACCAGCTACCAGTCCCCGGGTCGCGGCGTATTGCACTGCCGTGCTCCGAGCGGCTCGGAGCAGCAAAGGGGCGGCCCCGGGGGGCACGCACCCGCCCCGCCGGCCCCGTCCCGTCGGAGGAGTGAGGTAATAGAGGCGAGCCCGCTCCGCTCGCCGCCGCCGGCCCGGCCGCTACAGGTGCGTGAGCTTGGGGGCCTCCTGCAGCCGTCCCTGAGACGCGTGGTGCGAGGAGAGGTCCGTGTAGGTGGGGTGGGGGTCGCAAGGTCCGTGGTGGTGGCCGCCGGGGATCTGCGCGGCGCAGCTGTAGTCCACGCTGGCGGAGGAGGGGTGCTGCAGGTGGCCCAGGTTGAAGACGGGCCCCGAGGCCGGCATCGAGTCCACGAAGTTGCCCCCGACGTAGACGGGGCTGCCCTGCAGGCCGGGGTTGCCGAAGCCGCCGCCGCTCTGCAGGGGGTGCGGCTCGTACTCCGCGCCCGCGTAGCGCTTCTGCTGCGGCAGGCAGCCGCCCAGCGGCGCCGTGTAGGCGGCCAGCCCGTACATGCTCTGCTGCGCCTTGGCGAACGGCGTGGGCGACGGCGCGTCGTAGCCCAGGCCGCCGACGGCGGGCAGCTGCCCCGAGTAGCCGGCGTGGGCCGCGCCGCTCAGCGGGGGGCTGCGCTCCGGGGACTGGCCCGCGGGGGAGTGCATGATGCCTTTGGCTTTCTGGTCCTTTTTGTACTTCATGCGGCGGTTCTGGAACCAGATCTTGATCTGCCGCTCGGTCAGGTTCAGCAGATTGGCCATCTCCACGCGGCGCGGCCGGCACAGGTAGCGGTTGAAGTGGAACTCCTTCTCCAGCTCCACCAGCTGCGCGCTGGTGTAGGCGGTGCGCACCCGCTTGGAGGCCGGCCCGGGGGGGCTCTTGTCCTCGCAGCTCTCTCCTGCGGGAAGAGGCACGGAGAGCCGTTGGTCCCCCACGAAAGCCACCGGGGTCCCCCGGAGCCCTCCGCCCCTCCCGCTCCGCGTGGGACCGGGGACGGCCGCCCACACCTCTCCCCACCCCACCCCCCCCCGCACCCTCCTTCCTCCGCCGCCTCCTTCGGGGCCCTCGGCCCGTGAAGGCTCCGTCGGGGCCGCGCCCGTCGAAGAGACGGGATGGGATCCCCCGGGCCGCCCCCTGCAGCCGGGCTGGGGGGCGCTGGGATGCAGGGAAAGGCCGTGGGAAGGACATCGGGCCACGGGGCGGGGGCTACCTGAGGGGGGGCAGGTGCTTTTCTGCTTGGAGTTCTGCCGGGACTCCTTCATCCAGGGGAATATCTGCTTGCTGAGGGTAGCGGAGGCCGAGCCGGAGGCGTTGGGCCCCCCCTTGGCTTTTTTCGGGGGGGGCGCGCTGGAGGGATTGGGCGGGGAGGACGGCGGCAGAGCCGGGGGCTGCTGCTCGCCGATGCCGGGGGGCTGGCTGCCCCCGGGGCCGCCCCCGGCCGTTCGCATGCAGCTGCCTCCCAGCTCGGGGCCCTTGGGGGCCGGGCCGCGGCCGGGCGCGGAGCTTTGCACGGAGCAGGCGGAGCCGGGGTACTCGCCGTCCAGGCCGGCCGCACCGTAGGGCTGCTGGGCCGCGCCGTAGGGGTAGGCGTCGGCCTTGCTGTACGTGTAACCCCCGAAGAGCCCCGCGTTGTCGTAGTAGGCGGTTTTCTGCATCTTGCTCTCTGCGATCGCCAAGGCCCGCGGCCCCTGCTCAAAGATCATTGACCGCCGCCCCGCGCCTCACGTCGTCGGCCCGGGCCACTCGCCGCCGCGGGAGCCACCTGGGGAGGGGGACAGCGGGGACACAAGAGACAGCTTCAGTGCGGGGCAGTGAGGGACACCGGGAAGAGAGAAGGGACACTGGGGGTGGGGTAGGGAGCGTCGGGGAAGGAGCGGGGGACACCGGGGAAGGAGCAGAGTCACCAGGGAAGGAGAAGGGGCACCGGGGAAGGAGCCACCCGAGAACGATGGCGCTGTGGAGGAGCAGGCACACATGACGGGGTCCAGAGGTCACTTTCTCGAGGCCTCTAGGGACAGACCACGCTCGGGGCCCGGCGGCGGGTGGGTGCCGTCCCCAGAGACCCCCGGGCCCGCACCGGCAGGAACCCCACGGCCGCCTGGCGCCACGCGTGCGCACGGCCGCGCGGGGCTGACATGATGGATGGAGCCGCGCTGCAGCCGGGCGAAGGCAGACAAACCCCGTCCCCTTTGTAAACCCGGCCTTCCTTCTTCCCCGGATTCCTCCGGAGTTAAAGGATAACCGACGCCATTCACTAACTTCACTTTGCACCATAAAGGATGTCGCAGGTCAGCTCCCCTATTTTAATGCCGTGATGAATTAAAATCCTTCACCCGACGTTTCTCGTCCCTTTCATTCGTCCTCAGCAGAAAGAACCTGAGACACTGAGGATTATTTTTAGGGGATGGTTTTCACTATAGACGTTGGGGACCTCTTTTAGCGGCCTGCGAACTCTCCCCGCTCCTCTCCCCGCCCCCCGATCGTGCTGTTCGGGCTGAAAATGGACGGAGCGAACCCCCCCGCGTCGGGCTGTTGGCGCATCTGGGGCAGGGTGATACCTTTCCCCCGGTTGCAACACGGGACTTCTGCTCTTTTATTGCAAGACAGAAACTAGCCCGCAGTTTTCCTATGGCAAAACTCTCCGTTCTTAATTTTTCGCTGTATTTTTCTCGTTGGGTTGGGTTCTTCTCTGACATTTTCAGTAATTTTAAAGACTAACACACACTTCGTCTGACTGCATAGGTCCGTAACTCAGCGTGTCTTAGGAGTTCATTGTATTTCTACAGGGTTTGAGCCTACTAACACACCAGAGAAAAATAGCTAGAAAAATGAGAGCAGTGTCTGTTAATTATCATTTCTCTGGTCCATACTCGTGCAGCACCGCAATAGCACCTCTCTTTCCCCCGTGGCGATTGGTACCACCGATACATTTCCTGAAATTCCCCGCCAGTCACAGCCGTGCGGGGGGACCGCAGCCGCTGGGGCAGCTGAGCCCGGCCGGCCCGCCGCCACCCCGCTCTTCCCAAACAAAGCCTGGGATTATCGGGGGACCGGGAAGGATGGGGAAAGAGCCCTTTTCCTCTCCTGGAGAATGTTGGTGAAAGAGCATCTAAGGAAACGAGGGGTGGCGATTCAGATGATTTCTAATAAACTGTGATGATCTTGACGGGTCTTGCAAGTATTTTTGTGCAAAATAACTCCTTCGCCCGTTTCTCCCTTCCAGCATCTGCGTTTTCGGGAGCTGAGGACTGAGGACTCCTGGTTGCACGGCGCTGCCTTAAGTGTGTGCTTTTATGTGCCTCGGAAAATAGAGCTCCCAAAAGGATGGGCAGAATCTTAAGAAAGAATATTGCTGTTAAGCTGTTAAAAGCCTTATTTCTTTTCTGAAATACCAACTGCTTGTGAACTCTGCTTGAACCTACAAAGGAGGCTATGGGCCATAAATCACATGGACAATGCTCAACTGTTCGGTGGCTCATCTTTAGATCTTAAAAAGAGAGAGAGGGAGAGAAGGAGGAAGAGGGAGACCTTCCAGGTTTTGATTTTCCACGAGTGCAGGGCCCAGGGTGATGTTTTTGTAGCCGACACCAAAGCGAGGGCCCGACACTTGGTTCGACCAGAAACAGCCTCCAGGAAAAAAAGTGACATCCAAATGGCGAGGCCGAGCCGTGGGAGGTGGGCTCGAAGGGTAGGGAGCCGCGGAGTATCCACGGCTGTGCCTCACATCTCCCTTCCTCCTCCCCACAAAGGTTAACCTCAGCTGAACCGCCGGACACGGCGCACCATAATGGGGCTCTTTGTCCGGTTCCAGCATCTTCGGGGCTCCCGGTCCCCCGCTGCGCGCCCGCGGAGCCCCGCGCGAGGACGCGCGGCCACCCCACGCGTGTGCACGGCCGGAGCCGCGGTGCCGGCGCTCCCATATTAAGCAGTTCCCTACTAAAACTTCCCCCGCACTTAATTCCGCTTAGGATCAATATCTCATATGATACGGAATAAATAAAAGGCGGTGAGAGCGGCCAGCGGAGCGGTTATTAAAGCAGCCGGAGCTCTCAGGGTGCATATCAATGCACCTGTCATTGTGGTTTGTAGCAAAATTTATGACTGCGAGTGCTGTGGCAGTAAACGCTCCGGCCAGGAATGAAAAGGAAAACACTTCCCAAGCCCCAGCACTTTCAGAAGTGCAAAGCAGCCTGCGCGTAGGAGGGAGCCCGGCAAAAGAATTCCCCACTCGGCACATTTCCCGGCCGCCGGCCCGGAGGGAGCCCCGTATATAAGGGACGCACCCGAGCCGGCAGCGGCCCGGCCCGCGGGCAGGAGCCGGGCGGCCCCGGGGACGGCTGCGGGACGGGACGGGGCACGGGGTCGGAGTCCCCCGGCCGGCGTGGGGCTGCCCGGACAGAACCGGGGCTGTGCTGAGCGGGGCCGGGGCACCTGCTGAGTGGGATCGCGGGCAGGGCGCTGCGCTGCGGCCTCAGAGAGCGGGTGCGGACTCCCCGTCCCCGGGGAGCCCCCCGTTTCCCTGGCCGGGCTCGGCTCGCCCAGTCTGCTTGCGGTGGGGCCTGCCCAACGCTGCCGTAGCTTTGGCCTGCGGAGCAGCGGCTGCGGCACGGGCCGCCCGTTCCCCGCAGCCCCGCTCCTACCGAGGGGCTGCCGCGGCGGGGGAGTGGGAGACGGATGGAAAAGGAAATTTAGAGAACTCACCACACTTTTGTTTTTTCTTGAATTTTGACTTTAACTGTGTGTGTAGGATCTTCAGGTTCCTTTGGATAATCCTTGGGCGCGGACCTGCAACAGAAGTGAGAACTCTCAGCGGAAGCTGTTTTGTTTTGGACTTTCTTCCTTAGGACTTTGTTAATAAACGCACGTCTCGTCCGCAGCCCCTCACCGCCTCTCTAAGTCCACGTCAGATCTTTTACCAGACAAAGGGCAGACGCTTCTCTTCATTTATTAATAACGCTTTGAGAGAGGCGGGGAGCAAAAGAAGAAAAAAAAAAAGAACGAAATACCCCCAGACTGCCACCGCCTCCACGGCGGCGAGGAAGAAGGGAGCGGGGGAACTCGGCCCGGTTCGGGCAGCGCGGGGATGGGACCGGGAGCGGGAGGGGACAGGGACGGGGACGGGAGGAGAGAGGCCCCGAGCCGAGGCCCCCGCCGCTCCCCGAGGCGCCCGCCTGCGCAGGGGAGCTCCGCGAGAGCGGAACTACCGCGGGTCCTTCCCTCTGCCCCTCGCTCCCCATCCACCGGCCGAGACAGAGACAGAGAAGCGAAGAATCCCCAGCGCTGAAAACACGCCGCAAACGTTTGTTGCTCGAAAGGCACATTTTGCTTCTGGTTGTGTAAGGTATCGAGTCGGGACTTTAAGAACTTCAGAGTGCCAGAAATCCCCCACAAAGAAGCCCGGGTCATTATAAAGACGATATCTCGCAGCCATAAGCCTTTGAAATGACCTTTGGCTCGGGTAGCAATAACTCACCCCTTAATGAACAACCAACGGAAGCGCCTCCAATAGCTCACAACACAACAGACCCTACAACTTTCCTCCGCGTCTCCCCTCTCCCAGCCCAAACCCGGTAGGATGCGGCGTTACCCCTTCGAATCACCTTAATTTATGCTGGCAAACCGGAGTTGGGGAAGTGGAGCTTCACGATTACACACGGTGCTCGCTCAGGTTCTTGGCCCGGGCCTGTCCCGAGAACGTCTTATATAATATATGCACGTGGGCGTACGTCAACTTTAAGTGCTTTATTTTTTTAAGCAGAGTTCATTAGAAATAGCACTTCGCGGCCTGCGCGAGGAGAGCGTAAGTGGGGCTGCGCAGAGAGCGCACAGCGAGCCCGCTGGTGATGAGCACGGTAAGTTTTCATTTTGTGCCTAATTAATTATCGACTTCTCTTCCTTTTCCGAAGCAGCCTCAGAAGCCGCGCTGGATGCGCGTTCCTCGGCCAGGGGCCGCCAACCCCGCACCCTGCAGAGCCCCGACGTTCTGCAGAGCAGAGGGAACTGGGCGCTGCTCTCCCGCAGCCGCGGCGGAGTTACCGGAGCTCCACCGGGGAAAGCTTTACGATTATTCAGGCGTGGGCCCAATATCGGTATTATTGAAATTTTAGGTGAAGTTGTAAGTGAGTGCTTCCATCGAGCCAAATGAAATGCTGCTCGCAGTAATTGGATTCAGCTGACTAACTTGGCAGGCCAGCAGCTCGGAGGCATACAGCTAAGAAAAATGTTCGCTGCCTTTAACTTCTCATCGAGCAAAGCAACGTGCAGCAGAAAGACACACACACACACCACACACACACACACGCACGCACACGCACACAAAAGCCAACAAAAAACAACTTCTTTCTTCCCTTCCCTCTCCTCTCTGTCCGGCCGCAGCCCTACCAGAGTACGATGCGGGGCTCTGCGCAGGGTTCCCCGCAAACACAGCCTGGGAGCTCCGCTCAGGCCACGGGTCGGGGCCGGGGGAAACCGGCTCTGGGTGGGGGAAGGCAGCCAGACTGCGGGGAGCTGAGGCCGTTCCCAGCGCTTCTGAGCGGCCGCAGCCCTCGGGCACTCCCAGGCAGGCACCGTCCTGCTGTTCCCACCGCCCGAACGCACCGGGACGGCTTCCCAGAGGATAAATGTCACCGCGAGCTGCAGCAGCAGAAGCCGGGGGCGCGGGCGGCCAGGTAATAGCAAGACTAAAACAACTGGAGGGAAAAGGGGGCAGCAGCCACTGAGCGACAGAAATGTGGGGGGAAAAGGCATGAGAACGCACCTGGCAGGAAGATTTCAGAAACCCAACGGACGGGCTGCGTTAACAGACGAGCCTGCTTGAGATCGCACGTTACGAACCAGCACACCTCCCCCCCCCCCCGCCACGGCAACGAGTATCCTGGTACTCCATCTTACTTTGCAACGGGAGCATCCAGCAAAGTTGTCTCTCCCCCTTTTCTTTGTTATTGGCAATTCCCTCCCTGAAACCACCGAAAAAAATGGAGATAGGAGAAGGATAAAGCTTTTCTCCCAGCCTTTGGGAAGGAGTTCGCCTTTTATTTAAGCGGCATAATAAAAGATAGAGCTTAAAGCCTCCAAGGAGGTGGATGTTACTCCACACGTTATGGGCAGAGATTACAAACAAATTCCGGGCGGTCTCTGAATAAAAGTGGTAATGCAGCCCCTGTGAGTAAAGGTCCCGTTTTGCCATGCAGTTCCTTACCTGTGTGCCAATTTATCATAACCTGGGCTCCTCACTTTTCAGGATCTGCTCTCGCAGTTCTTAGAATACATCCTTCCCCCTTTGTCTGCAGACAGCACTGTCCTAAACCTGATCCTGCGGTCTTACAGACATTTCCACGCCAGAATTCCCGATAGAATGAGAACAAGCACGGGCTCAGCTACCAATAAAAGAGAGCGAGTGGAAATCGGAATTTGGTGGGGTTAAAAAAAAAAA